TAATAAGATTTATATATTAAAATATTATATAAATAATTATAAAAATTGTTACTATGCCAACTGCACAAATATTCTCCTTTTTTATTATATAGAGATTGTGATGTTAAATAAATAAATATACAAATTTAAATATTAATATATAAATAGATAAATATTAAATGAGATAAATATAAAATTAAAAAAAAAATAGACAAAGGAAGGCGGGCCCACCAGCGGAGTCCTCACGCTTATCCTATCTCATAATTTTCCAGCGATAAAAGCCCACCCCCACCAGCGTTGCATTATTCAATCATAGACGGAGCTGAGAGTGTAAAGTGTGAAAATGCTGGGTGTGTTTAGCAGGGAAGTGGCGGATCCGCCGGAGGAGTTGGTGGCGGCCGGGAGCCGCACGCCGTCGCCGAAGACTCGAGCCTCAGAGCTAGTGAACCGGTTTGTCAACAAGAGCTCGCCGGCGGAGGTGGTCTCGCTTCAGCTCGGCTCAGACGGTTATCTTGTCCACTCTCGCGTCGGCGATTCACCCTTCCGCCCAAGGTCTGTTCATTTTGTCCTCCCTCTCTTTGCCCATCTACATCTTTCTCTATCTTCTGTTCTCTTTCTCTGATATCAAAAGTATGAGATTCATCTTTGATGCGCTTTAGCCTAGTTCTGGATCTTCTATAACTTGCAAGATCTGTATATATATCTCTTTTTCTCTCGGTTGCTTACTCTTCGAGATCTGCTATTTGATCCATGTCTACTCGGCGATCTGCTCTTAGAAAAAATAAACTTTGGATGAGTAATTCTTGAGCTGAATTTATTGAATTTTAAGACATCTTTTACTTTGCAAAATAATAATTAAAATATTTATGGATATTTATTTTGATGAGGAAAAAAGTGCAATCTGATGTTTTTTTTTTTTAAATTGTCGCATGTGGGACATCAATTCCATTATGATGCTCACGGAGAGAGGATCTATCTAGATCTCCTTAGTTTTTTTCAGACTACACTCATATAATCAAATAGAAAAAAGAACAGGGCACAATAATTTTAGGTAGACAATCTTTGGGGGTAAAGATCATGGTTCATGGTCTTAGCCCACTTAAGATGCAAGAAAAGTTGTGGCACATGTTTGGATGCGACGATCAGTGTGGCGCAAGCAGGGCTTTGTCATAAGTCTTGGAAGAGACAACGATGTGGGTGAGTTTGAACGAATATGTTGCGAACAGGGTGGAGACTGAGGTCTTGAAGGAGATGACTGGTACTCAAGTGAGATTGTTGTGAAGTTTGGAAGGAGATAATTGCGGTGCGATTGAGATTGCAAAATATGTTTGTAAGAAGTGATTGCTACGATGCAAGTGATATGATGCATACATTTGTAAGTGACAACAAATATGACACAAGCAGAGTTGCCATAGAGGTCTTGTAAGAGATGTTTATAGCACATGTGAGATTGAGATAGAGATCTCTGATAGTGATGATGGCTATGGCAAACATGTCTAGAAGGAGATGACTAATGAGGTTGTGATGTAAGTTTGGAAGCATCAATGGTTGCACAAAAGTGAGATTTTGGCATTGGTATGGTAGAAGATGGATGCGATATGAGAAATGTTTTGACGTAGATCTATATGCAACAACATCTATGATGTAATTAAGGTTGTAACACAGATCTTGACATAAAAATAAGGGGGATTTACATACATACTTTATTTGATGCTATTTACATATCTATCACCTAAAACTTCATTATTACATACCTACAACTCATATAAAATTTTAATATCAAATATATCTCTCCTATATTTCATTCTTACCACCCATACCACCCTATAAACATTAATATTTCATTCCATACACCCATATTTATTCTATGGGTGGTAGACATGTAATATTAAAGTTTTAGGTGTTAGATAAGTAAATAGCATGAAATTAAGTGGTATGTATGAAAAATAAGGTTTTGACATAGGTTTTGATGTAGCAATAGCTACACTACATACAAGTTTGTGGTGAATGTTTAGAAGGGGGTGATTGATTATAGGATTTTGTAAAATAATTGGGTAACATTGAGCTTGGAAAGCTATATACCTTTATAATTGTTGCTCCTAAGGATTTGCCCAAGGATTTTGGCATCTTCGGGCTTGGAAATTCTTATATCATGCCAAATGAGCTGGAATGAGATGTCTATAAATTTTGAGAAGAGTATTTAAATTCTTAGTTGAAATATTTATCACAGTAATCAATAATGAACTAAATCTATTGCAACCTTGCATAATTTAAATGTGTTCAAATGATATTGAACTTGGTTTGACTCGTCCAACTCTCTTTGAGCGAAGCTGAGATGATTGATGATTTGGTGACGTGACAACATATACAACTTTGTTGATCTCGAGGCCATGAGTCCAAAGAAGGAAACATATTGAAGTTTCGATTGTTGGATTAATAAGAATAATTTTGAAAATTTTGTTACTTAAAACTGGGGGTCTTGAAAATGATGACACTCTCTCATAATTTTTATAGCGTAGTGCTCATCTCATCAAAAGTAGTTATTTGCAACAAATGGCTTGTGACTTAAATTTTTTGGAGGACAAAGTAGCTCTGAGAAATTGAAACCTTCATGGATAATTTACCAATAACAAGCATCCCTATTTGATCAAATAGTGCAAACATGCTTCTTGCAATGAGAAGAGTTTTTTTTCTTTTTTTGTTGGGGGGGGGTCTATGGGTGGTAGACAAGTAATATTAAAGTTTTAGGTGTTAGATAAGTAAATAACATGAAATTAAGTGGTATGTATGAAAAACAAGGTTTTGACATAGGTTTTGATGTAGCAATAGCTACACTACATACAAGTTTGTGGCGAATGTTTAGAAGGGGGTGATTGATTATAGGATTTTGTAAAATAATTGGGTAACATTGAGCTTGGAAAGCTATATACCTTTATAATTGTTGCTCCTAAGGATTTGCCCAAGGATTTTGGCATCTTCGGGCTTGGAAATTCTTATATCATGCCAAATGAGCTGGAATGAGATGTCTATAAATTTTGAGAAGAGTATTTAAATTCTTAGTTGAAATATTTATCAGAGTAATCAATAATGAACTAAATCGATTGCAACCTTGCATAATTTAGATGTGTTCAAATGATATTGCACTTGGTTTGACTCGTCCAACTCTCTTTGAGCGAAGCTCAGATGATTGATGATTTGGTGACGTGACAACATATACAATTTTGTTGATCTCGAGGCCATGAGTCCAAAGAAGGAAACATATTGAAGTTTCGATTGTTGGATTTCGGCGGCGTGGCAAGATGACACCTCTCTCTTTCTTTTGCTTAACTTAGGCAATATGTAAGGAGATTGGCTATCTGATTTGTCTTTGACCGGTCTAACCAGTTTGGGGCCTTCTAGTTTTCAAAATGTTGTAATTTTAATGTCAGTGGATTTGTTGAGACAAATTTGTCTTTTGGTAAAGTTTCATATCATTTCAAGCTTTGCTAGTCTCCGATTTATTTTTGTTTAATTTTGAATTTTTTTTTTAATTTTTGAGTTAATGGAGAGAGTTGTGATACAACTACTTAACTTGCATTTTGAATTTGTATATCATGTTGAAAATTTTGCTTGGTGAAATGAAAATTTTGGTCCCTACACTTATTGCACGGAAACAAAATGATTTGGAATGGTATCTATTTTTTGTTATTGCTTTCATAGTTTTTTTTTTTCATTCTTGATCATCAATCGTATGTAGGCCTTCTATATGCATTTTAGTCTGAAATTATTTCTTGGCATATCAATCACGGAATCTTTTGGTGGTGTTTTTGTGTATATATTATGTTCTAAACCTCGTTGAATGTATTTCAAATCTGGAAATTTCTCATTTTTTGTTCTTTTCAAATGATAACCGTTAAGAAGAAATTCTATTTTGTTATATCCCCGCCCTTATTTTTTTGAAAAATATTGCAAAAAAAATCATTGATTTTGTTTCATTTTATACAAATGCTGATGGTTTTAAGTTTGATAAGCAAGTATCATAGTTTTTGTTTTGCAAATAACTGAATTTAAAATTCAATGAAAATATCTTGAATAATGAACACATATTTTAATAATATTAAAGATTCCTTCTATAAATATTTATCACATTTGATAATTCAGATATAAAAATTAGTGGTATTTAAATAGTAAATATAAAATGGGGCGGGAACTTTGTATTCAGGTTTCCCTATTTATATTTGCATAGCTCCCTACCAGTTGGCGGATTTACTAAGTAGTTTGTAATTTTTTTTTCAACTTTCCTAATTATTATGTTTGTTTTGTGAGGTACATAGTGTAAAGAACTGAATTTTACCAACCTTTCAGTAGTTAATGGTAGGTTGCCTAACATCTTGAATAAAAACAAAATAATGATCCACATGTAATTATGACTTTTGTGCGATATTTTATTGGTCTTTAATGAACCGTTTATTCCCATAATTTTTTTATCTTTTGAAAACATTCAAGTCTTGGCTTTATGAACTGTTAATAATGGTTAGTTATTCTTTCAATTTTCCATTATGTATGTTTGTATCTAACTATTTAAAGCAGTGCCATTATTATTAATAAGTTCACTTCATTCCACAATTATTTAACTTATGAAGTTTAGGCCAATGGGTAAGTGTCACTATTAGTATATTAGAGATTTAACTCATTTTTCAATTATGTTATGCAATTATTTATCACACTTGTATATATCTTAACCATTTCTCTCATGAGAGTTCTCTACATTAGCTATCACTCTTCTTCAATTAAAAACTTTCAATTCCATCAAAATATGCGCTTAGAGCTTTGAATCTTAACGTTTATGAATAATTATCTTGATCAACTTTAGATTAGAATTATATTGATTAATGAGTTTAAAAATTGTAAATATCAATCTACAAATTACTGAAACTGGAAGTTTATTTTCTACAGATTATTTGCTGTAAAAGATGATATCTTCTGCATATTTGAAGGAATACTAGACAACCTAGGAAACTTGATTCAACATTACGGCCTCTCTAAAAACTCAAATGAGGTTTTACTGGTGATAGAGGCCTACAAGGCTCTCCGAGACAGAGCTCCTTATCCTGCCAGCTTCATGCTTGGCCATTTGAATGGAAACTTTGCTTTTGTGCTCTTTGACAGAAAGACTTCAACCATCCTTGTAGCTTCTGTAAGCTGTTGGCTTCATCTTTAGGCTTCGTTTGGGACGGCTTTTTTACTGTTTCTTAAAGCAGTATTTTTGTAGAAAAGTTTTAATTTTTTACTAAAAAAGTTGCTTTATGAAGTAATAAGAAAGCCGTCCCAAACGAAGCCTTAATCTTCTTATCTCTTATAGATAATATTTTGAATCTTTGAGTAATTTGTTGTGTCCTTATGATTAAATGCTTTGGAATATGGCTGGCAGGATGCTGATGCTAAAGTTCCTTTGTTCTGGGGAATTACAGCAGATGGGTGCCTTGCTTTTGCTGATGATGTTGAAATACTAAAAGGGTCATGTGGCAAGTCACTTGCTCCATTTCCTCATGGTAATTCCCTTTCTCTTTGTTGGTTCTTTTCCTTGTGTATTTAGCGCACCTGTATTTCTTCTAGTTTGTTCAAAGAGAATAAATGTTTGTTGTCTAAAATTATTGTGGTACTTACACTTGTTGATTGAATGACAAAAATGAATATTATTATTGAAATATACTATTCTAATCTTAATTTAAATAGAATTGGTTTAAATAATTAAGTGATTACTTTTATAATAGATCTAAAATTCATAAAAATATTTTTATGTTTTTGTGGCTAAGCTATATAAACTATTGTTTTAAGTTACATTTTAGCTTTCATTTGAGACAACTTTCTTGATGTTTTTTAAAGCAATTTTTTAATACAAAATTTTGAGTTCAAGAAATTTTTGTACTAAAAAACTGCTTTAAAAAGTCGAAGTAGGTCGCTTCAAAGACTGTATGCCAAATGGAGCCTAAGGGTGAAGATACTATTTTGTTTTGATTCTGTCATTGTGAGTGTTTGGCATCACTGCTTTTTAACTTTTTCTGTTTGTTGGGATCGTAGGATGCTTTTATTCGAATTCTCTTGGTGGATTGAAAAGTTATGAGCATCCTAAGAACAAGGTGACCGCAACTTTGGCAGCTGATGAAGAAATCTGTGGCGCCACCTTTAATGTAATGTTCATATTCTCCATAATGTCTTCCACTCTGCCAAATATATTTTTTTCTTCTGCTCCTTCTCCTTCATTGGTCAGCTTAAAAACCATTTTAATGGCCTTCTACATCTTTTTAGTATATTGGAGTTGATTCCTTTTCTTTTTTGTTTATTTAGGTGGAAGGAGCTTCTACAATTGTCACAGCCATGCATTAGAAGCTCATTCTACGCATGGAAAGGGATCTAATTAATGTGAATAAGGGAGAAAATAAAGGAGTTGGTGTGTTTGTGTCTTAGGCTTTGTTTGGGACGACTTTTTTACTGCTTCTTGAAGCAGCTTTCTAGTACAAAATATTTAATTTTTGTACTAAAAAACTATTTCAAGAAGCAGGAAAAAAGCCGTCCCAAACGAAGCCTTAGTGAGCTTGCTAGTCTTTGTATTCAGTGTTGTCCTTTGTGACTTGAGAAATGTTTTCTTTAATGCTTTTCATTGTAAATGAAGTTTTTATCCATGTAGGCCAATTTAAGAACAAGTAGGTAAGATGGAACTATTTTGTTTCTGTTGTTGCTGGGTTTTGATCTTACAACGAAGTTTGTGAGTCAGCTTGTTTAAAAAATATTAATATAAATTATAATTGCATATATAAATTCCCTTAAAAAATAAAACTAGATTTTTGGGATGAGTGATCTTTTGGAAAGACACACTAGAATAAAATTTTACAGTCATTAGGCTAAAATGGATAATATTGTGATAGTTTAGAGTATGAGTTGTCACAAATGATATTAATATAGGACTTATAATGCTCTTATCTTTATGGTGGATGATTTTAAAGCAAGAAAATCAAGTTAATTATCTTAGTGGGTGAGATTATGAAATTTTTTAAGAAAATAAAATTAAATTCTTCAATATTGAGAAAAATTTTGGCGTAATAGTTGGAGTTTAGGGTTTAGAAATTTTAAAGTTATATTAACAGGATAAAATAATGTGGTTATTAGGTTATTTTAATGATGAAAAATATGGATTGTTATGGCAAATTCTATAATTTAAATATTTAATGTCCTCTAAATATCCTAACTCTATGAACACAAAAGTTCCTAGCTCAAACCTAAAATCTAAGGGATTGCTAAGTTTCTTTTGGCTCTTAATAGGTATTGAACTAGTTTGTTCCTTCTTGGATGTTCTTTCTTAGTTGGTAAGTCCCATAAGTCTTCAACAAGCTCTAACTGCTCGTACACCCTTCTCCCTTCAGCATTGAAAAACTAATAAACTTTCAAACACTTGGTTGCCCCTAAATACTTCATCAAAGTCAATGTGGGGATAGTTTCGACATGAAGGGTATAGAATCACGTCCGAACTTTTCCTTTGAGGGTGGCAAGAGAAAGTTGGCAGATGAGCACATCCGAGGCTCGCTGTATATGCATGATGATTGTATAGTGATTGATATGCTTGTAGGAATCAGATGTTATGTTGTAAGAATCGATGCTTGGTAGTTTAAAACCTATCGGAATGGGGTGTTGAATGATGGCTTTAATCAGGGGTGATGACTCATGTAAGTCCCACTGATCATGCGATTGTCTTCCGCCTCTCATTGGGAATTCTTCTCAAACTAGTCGACATAGTTTGTGACATAACGCGTTGTATGGGATATCAACAACATGAAGTCGGGCCAAATCTTCGATGACAACTAGAGGAATACAAAATTGCTGACTTGGGCGTGAAAAATGGGTAAATATTGTTGTATCAACAAGTTTGTTGTCTTAACGTAATGGGGGATGCATCCTTAACTGAGGAAGAGGAGTATATGTATGAAGATGTTCAGGTCAAACACCTTCAACTAGTGGTGGATCTTGAGGGAGAATAACCTCCCCTTATTGTGCTAGTGGTGGTTGTTGAGTCTCTCGCAAAAGTTGAAGAAACTCATTTTAAGATTTTTTCATCTTTTGGATACAATCTTCCAGGGAAGGTCTTGAAGTTCCTTCTCTAGCATAAATTTGCCCATAAGGATAAAAAGAGGTAGATGCTTGGCATCTTGATTCATAGATTGATTCATGGATTGATGTGTGTTGGAGTGGGAGGCTCCCAAAATGTGATTGCTATGCCTCTTGGCCATTGAAGTAGTGCTTAGGATTGTATGATTGATTTCTCACAGACGACACCAAACTGTTCCAGGCTAGAATATATGCGACGATAGAGTTGAAATTTTATGTCTTAGTGTTGTAGGGATATCCATCACACACACAATTTTTTTTACATGAAAAATCTTGGAAAGGGAAAAAAAAATCACAAGACCACGCTCAGATGAAATGATTACACTAGTGTTTAAATAGATTATAAATGATTGATATGTCCTATTGAGGACGATCAGATTACAAAAATCAACCGCTGGGTTGAATTCTAGTGACGAGCAAAGTTCAGACGAAAATTTGCCGACGTTCGGCGGTCGAGCAAAAACCCGACGCTAGTCGGTGGCCGGGCAGAAGTCCAGTGACAGACAGTGGCCAGACAGAAGTCCAGCATCAGTTAATGACAGGGCAGAAGTCTGGCGTCAGTCAGTGACCGGGCGAAGCCTGGCGGTGGTCAAGGAGGAGTTTGGTGGCAAGAGAACTCTAGTTTCTCTCTCTTCCTTTATTTACTCCCTTTTTCATGAGGAATGAGGGATTTATTTATAATTTTATGAGAGTGGCATGACCAGTAAATATGTGGGAGATCAAGGGTAAGTTGAGAGTGGTTTGAATGGACAGCCGATGTTGATTCCCTTGATCTTATGCCGTTTATTGAGTATTTAAATGTTTTAATGATATTGAAATTTGATTATCTTGGGCTTGTTGGATTCATCTCGTTGATATGCTCGATTCGACTATAAGCATGTTGCTTTTGGAAATCGTTTGGTCATCCAATTTATGATTTGAACTTTTCAAATGCGCTATGGGTCTTTGATTTGGACCCAATTGGGCTCAGATTGAGTCAAGCCGTTGGGTTCACTTTTTTTGAGACGTTCAGTTCGACTGCAAGTTTGCTGAAATCAGAAATCAGTTGATCCCAAATTTAAATTTTGAAGTTTCTGACTTGATTTTATCTCGAGATTCGTGCTGGTTCAAGATGTTTTTTTTTATGATATATCAAAAATGAATGTGTATGAAACTAGATTTATTTTCCATAAAAATCAAATTTAATTGTGTATACTAATTTAAATCAATAAGTGATTATAAAAAATTAATCGGAATATGTAATAACTAATCAATAGATCCAGGTACGAGATCCATTGATTTTTGGAAATTCGTGCACGGGCTTCTTGTTACCAAGCATTGATATCAGCATAAAATTTTGTATGTATTCGAATCATATCTAAAATTTAAAATTTATATTTATTTATATATTATTTTAATATTTAAATCAAATTAAAAGTAAAAAAATGTTTTTAAATAAATTAATATTAATATTATTTTAAATATGATTTATAGCTAACACAGAAAAAATTTATGATCTGTATGACACTCCACTTTTATTAATTAAGTTGATCTTAAAATTTATTGTATTTGAATTGAGATTAATACTAAATAAAAAGAATTTCTATAAAGTAGCGACGAAAACTTAAGCGTGATTGGACCAACGATGCGTGAACATTGAAGAAGATGGTTAGAATTGGATATCATTAGGGTTAGAGAAAAATATAGAGGTTTAAGAAGGGGTGTCAATTTCGGGTCACGGGTCAGGTTCGAATCGAATCCGAAGCTGACCCGACACTATTTGGGTAAACCCAATTCTGATTCATGTTTAAAAACGAGCCATTTTTTTGGACCTGAACTCAACCTGCTTCGGGTCCAGGTCAACCCGACCTGCTTCAGGTCCAGGTCAACCCGACACAACCCGAATGACCCATTTTCAACCAAAAAATTGCTAGTTTTTGAGTTAAAACAGGTCAATAACTTTTTTCGGGTACAAAACGGGTCAAAATTAAGTCAATCTCAAGTTGCCAGGACAAAATTGAATTTTCGGGAAAAAAACGATTCAATTTCAAGTCAAAGGATTTACCCAAACCCGATCCGATTTTTGAAACGAGTTGAAATGTTGAACAAGAACCTGACCCGTTACAGGTTCGAGTTGACCCTAACAAAAAATTTTCAGGTCATGTCAAATATTGACACCCCTCTCTTAATAGTTTTGAGAGAAAGACAGAGAGAGATGGGCTCGATGGTAATACTTTTAAATAATCAAAAAATATTTTAATCCTTCACAAAATAATAAGATAAGAGATTAATTCAATCATTTTCTTTAAAATAGAAGATCACTCTTCAGGGTAATACTTCTATATAATTTTAAACTAGATTAAAGATGACATCAACTCCAGTTCAAAACTTTAAATTAAAAAATTAATTTAAATAAGATTAAAACATTATAATTTTATAAAATATTTCAGATTTAGAAATCTAAATTATTATTTATTTGAAAACAATAAAATTTTATTTACTAAACTAATAATTAAAAAAAAAATCTACATAAGCATTTATATGTTAACATAGAAAAATATTTTTGTATCATACTTCTACTTGAACCAATTTTGAGCTTCATGGAGCTTATTTAAGATAATAAATAAGGTAAGATAATTAACTACTAAACCAACCATTTCAAATACTCATTAAATAAATTAAATATAAAACTTAATGAGAATACATATTATACAAAAATAATATATATATACAATTATTTTAAAAAGATCAAAATAATACCCAATTATATTAAAAGACCATTTTAATCCCTAAATTTTTCTAAAAAAATCAAAATAATTCATAATGAAACTACATTTATTCATTTTAAAAAAATTAAATGACCAAAATAACCCTTTAATATAATTAGAGACTATTTTGATCATTTTCTCATTATTAAAAACTTTTTTATTCCTTTTAAAAATTATAGATACATAAATAAATTTTAACTTACAAAAACATAATACAAACATCTTATCCATTACTGCAATTATATATAGATATATACCTTATTTTTAGTATACTAAGAGAATTATCAAATAAATATAATGATTTAAAATTTAATAAAATTTTTCTATTTTTGATTTCAAAATCTTTTTGAAAAAACCATATAATATTTTACAAAGCTCTAATAATAAATATTACTAATTTTATCACATAAAAAAATTATCAAAACATGCATTTTGTTCTTACTAAATCAAAGAGCTACCAGACTTAAAAAAATAACTCTTTGAGGAAGAAATTGAGCCATTCATTCAATCAAAATATTCACTACTAGAAAAACACAGCCACACTAAAATAAAAAATAAAAAAAAATCATAATGGTTCATACCATCTTCTCAAGTGTTGGGGGTGTGCTGTTTCTGCTGCATGCCTGCATGAACTGCTGAAACTCTTCCAACTGAAACTTGAGTACAGAGATGTTGAATCAATGTGGGAAACAGCAATACTGAATATCAGTAAGTCACTTAGGCTTCATTTGGAATAGCTTTTTTACTGCTTCTTAAAGTAGCTTTTTAGTAACTTTGTACTAAAAAGATGATTTAAGAAGCAATAAAAAAGCCGTCCAAACGAACCCTTCGCGACTCTTTAGATTGCACGAACTCACCTTTGAACATAGAATGGGGCATACAAATAGTTCGATGCTTGCTTCTTATACCACAAGTCTCCCTTAATGACATCTGACAAAGAACTTGAGAGTAAAATGGTTGTTTGAACCTTACAAAGTACAGAATTCTGCAGATTTATCAGCTTTATATCACTTTAGAGTAAAAATACTTGAAAATTTTAGTAAACTGGAGAGTAAGTACTGCCAATGCAACCAAAAACTTATTTACAAAGCACAAGCAGGGATGAAATTGAAAAAATTGTCGAAGTTCAATAGAGATATCATTTATTAGCTGCATAATGTAAAGCAGTTATAAACCCAACTACGTAATGCCAGTTTAACATAAGATCAAAAGCATTTTAATGGTGGGAGGAACAGCAGCACAAAGTAGAAATTGGTAATAGTACCACTGCATATTTACTATCGTCAGGCAGTAATAGAAGCAACACAAGCGTTTCATGGCAGTTTCCTTTGCTTATCAATTAACGAAATACAAATCCAGTGTAACCGGAGTAAACACAGGAATCGTGATAGTTACTAATACAATTAAAAAAAACGCCATTGTAGAGGCAAATTTATTGGGACACTTAAGCAAATTTAAATTTAATACAGAAAGAAGAAATCTGAACTCCCCAATCAAGCTAACCTTCCCTCCACAAAGTCACAAACTGATTTCGCTCATGGCCGCCTTTAATCATGCTGTAAGGGGAATCTCTCTCTCTCTCTCTCACACACACACACACACTCATGCATCACTACAGAGTATAAGCAATCATCGTAAGCCTTTTTATCGCTATTCTTCTGCCCTAGCTATCATTATTGTCTCCCTTCGGGGTGTAAGTGAGCCAAATTGGTTCGCGAGTCAGCTCAAGCTTGACTTGTTATAGAGTTCCCAAGTCAAGCTTACTAAGTCACGAGTTTGAACTCGGCTCAAAAGCTTGTTGAGCTACTTGATTAACTTAAAATACATTTAAAGATTAATTTAAATTAGCATTATATAACATATTTTAAGCTTTTTAAATTAATTTTATATTTAAAATAAAATCTTAAAAAAAAATTTAAAATTAAAAAAACTAGCCCAACAATCAAATCAAGCTCAAGCTTTCCAAACAAGCTCGAGGAATCAAGCCTACAACTTTTTAACGAGTCGCGTTTGAGCCTAGCAAACGAGTTTGAGTCAAGCTTGAGGTCAGCAAGAACCTATGTTGTACCGATACGGATATGACGACACGGATACGACACGATACGAATACGGGACACATCAATTCTTGAAAATACAAGAAACGGGTACGACATGGACATTGCATTATAATTTATAAATCATACATAAATTACTTTGTCACGCTCTAGTCATCAAACACTAAGACAGGATAGAAAAAATCAATCTTAAAATAGACAGCTCAACTTCCATGTGCAATAAGTGATAACTTCGTACTCAAATTAATAAAATTTTAAATTATGCTACAAGAATAAAGATGGTTAAAATACATAAAAACTATCAAAGCCATATGTTGTTTAAAACACCAGTATAGATCCGAACCTTCATGTGGCCTCATCTTGCATAATCGACGATGGAAACCAAGCTTGCGGTCGCTTGGCCTTGTCTCGCGTACGTCGTCGTCCCGCGTATGCCCTCGTCTCGTGTATCGCCTCGCCTACATGCCCTCGTATTGCCTGCTCGGCGTCGACCGACTCTCCTCTCTTGCTCCTTCGACGAAATGGAGAAGAACCTGGATGCACGCTCACGGTCGTAGAAACAAAGAAGCCCTAACACCTAACGCCTCGTCTTGTGGGTTCAAAAATGAGAGAACCTCGCTCACAGCTGCGAAGTAAATACGAGCGTCATTTTTACATATTTTTTTTCATTTTTCAATGGGACACGAATCTGATATGCGTGTCCTTTTATCCTTAATTGGATATAGCTTTGTCATATCCGACATGTATCGATGCCGTATTGGATGCGTATCCGTGTCTGACATGTACCCGACATAACATGCCTTCATAAATAGGTGTATCGGTGCAACATGAGTAAGAAGTAAACAAGCTTAGCTCAATTAGGTAGATACTCCACTTGACTCGACTCGTTTACACACCTTGTCTTGCAATCTTAATCTCAACTCCTAGCTCTAGAGATAAAGCCACTACTTATCCATTCCTCATTGCAACATTGCTAAAATTTTCCTCTTCTTAAACCATTGCTATTATTTTTCCTTGTTTTCTTGATTCTTCACTCACAATTTCATAGATTAGTTGAAGTCACCAGTGAGCATCATTGTCTTATTTGACCTCATCTCAATTACCTTATCATTCGCAAGTGTGCCTGGCAAAAAATTCATTGTCCAATGTTATTCTTCGTTTCCTCATTGCTGCTTGAACCTTCTTTCAGTTTTATCAATTTTGTTACGTAAGTTAAGTGATTCAATTCTTTCTGAACATTAACGGATTAACCTAGGTTTTGATTACATTATTTTTTGGAGATAGATTATATGGTTTAAGTTCATGGCCGTAGGTTTAATTTCATAATTATGATTAATTTAGATTAAACATGAGTTAATTTTTATTAACCAGATGCATCCAAATTTGTCCATTTTGATGGTTAAATACATGCTTTTGCGCATGTGATTTATTTGGAGGTTCTACTGTGTATGGTCTCATCTAGTGTTGTTTTTTCAGATCACAAGAGAGCATTGGTTTTCAGTGTTACGTCTTGAGATATGCTATAAAAGATAATTCTTCCTTTGAAACAGCTAATTACATTGTTATCTCTTGGCAATTTTGGCTAGGACAGAATATACAAAACAAGGAAAAATTGTAGTTGATTACTTACAAATTCTGGGAAAAGATGCAAGGCAAAAATTAAAACTTGTAGGATCTAAGAGTTTGTGGATCAGAATTCAGGTTGGATTCATCAACAATAACATTATAAGACGAGAATGAGGTAATGTATATACCGAGGTAATGTATATAACAACTAAATCGAATACCACCTAAATTATCTCAAAATCTTGTTGGCTTAAAAGAGAAGATAAATAAATACTTGTATTAATCACCATTTAATATTTTAAACATTGCATTATTTAAATGCACTTATATTAAGCCAAACACATTTCCATTTACAAGGTATCATGATGCAGGACTTAAATGTCTAAGCGATGTTAGAAATGAATCTTGTACAATTTAATTTAGAGAGCTTTATTAAAATATTTGTAGTGATTAAATGATAACAAAAAACAAGAAAGAGATGAGACTAACTTAGGCCAAGTCACACAACTAGAAGTTAAAATCTCAAAATAATCAATTACTCAAGCGTTGCATACATGAAAGGTTATCAACGATAAATCCCTACGTTAATAATGGGACTAGTCACTATGAAAAGATCCCTCACCCAACTCTCTAAATCGCTAGGCTTTAATGAAGGAAAATTAACACTATCTTAATGAATCAAATAAGACCACAATTGAAAAGCAACTAAGAAGATATAAGTGTTGGAGAAAGAGTTTACTCAAAGGAAAGAAGATACGAAGCTCCGGTGTGGTCGTTTGGGTGTTTGAGAGAGAGAGATGATAACAACACGAACCTCCTAGCTACCTTTGGACAACACTTTTGGTAATTTCTGGATGGTGGACAGCAAGCTAACTTGAGCCGGATTCTTCGGACAGCAAACTAAAACATCCGGACAGCACAAGACGATCTCCCGGCCAGCTGGACAACAGGGAGAAGTGCAAAACTTTCCTGGACAGCCACCAAACAACGTCCAGGAAATCTGGACAGCAATTTGGAAACCTAGAATTAGGGTTTAGGAGTTGTTTTTGGAGAGAGGAAGGGAGGAGGAGGTGGGGAAGGGCTGGTGGTTAATGAGGGAGGGGAAAAGGAAATTTCCAAAATCTGAAAATAGTTTTAGATTTTTGTTTGGAGGGATTTGAGGTCATGTAATTTGAATTTCAAACAAGAGGAAAGAAATGAAGATAGCTCATCCATCTTTGTTGAATATCATCTTCTAAAAAAAGTATTTTTTGATCTTCATCTTTAATACACTTCACTTGAACTAAATCCTTACTACTCCTATCTCTTTGTTTGGCTAACTTATACATATATCTTTCTCCCTCTTTAGTATCTAATCTATTATATAAATCACTAAAAGCTAATGCCTTTGCATCGCATATTGCTTTCTTAGCATCCTTACGAGCCACTTTATATATTTCCCAATTATCAGAATTTTTAAAATTAAACCAATTTTTATAACAAAGCTTCTTATTTTTAATTTTTAATGCCTAAAGGTCTTGAGATATGCTATAAAAGATAATTCTTCCTTTGAAACAGCTAATTACATTGTTATCTCTTGGCAATTTTGGCTAGGACAGAATATACAAAACAAGGAAAAATTGTAGTTGATTACTTACAAATTCTAGGAAAAGATGCAAGGCAAAAATTAAAACTTGTAGGATCTAAGAGTTTGTGGATCAGAATTCAGGTTGGATTCATCAACAATAACATTATAAGACGAGAATGATGTAATGTATATACCAACTAAATCGAATACCACCTAAATTATCTCAAAATCTTGTTGGCTTAAAAGAGAAGATAAATAAATACTTGTATCAATCACCATTTAATATTTTAAACATTGCATTATTTAAATGCACTTATATTAAGCCAAACACATTTGCGTTTACAAGGTATCATGATGTAGGACTTAAATGTCTAAGCGATGTTAGAAAATAATCTTGTACAATTTAATTTAGAGAGCTTTATTAAAATATTTGTAGTGATTAAATGATAACAAAAAACAAGAAAGAGATGAGACTAACTTAGGCCAAGTCACACAACTAGAAGTTAAAATCACAAAATAATCAATTACTCAAGCGTTGCATACATGAAAGGTTTTCAACGATAAATCCCTACGTTAATAATGGGACTAGTCACTATGAAAAGATCCCTCACCCAACTCTCTAAATCGCTAGGCTTTAATGAAGGAAAATTAACACTATCTTAATGAATCAAATAAGACCACAATTGAAAAGCAACTAAGAAGATATAAGTGTTGGAGAAAGAGTTTACTCAAAGGAAAGAAGATACGAAGCTCCGGTGTGGTCGTTTGGGTGTTTGAGAGAGAGAGATGATAACAACACGAACCTCCTAGCTACCTTTGGACAACACTTTTGGTAATTTCTGGATGGTGGACAGCAAGCTAACTTGGGCCGGATTCTTCGGACAGCAAACTAAAACATCCGGACAGCACAAGACGATCTCCCAGCCGGCTAGACAACAAGGAGAAGTGCAAAACTTTCCTGGACAGCCACCAAACAACGTCCAGGAAATCTGGACAGCAATTTGGAAACCTAGAATTAGGGTTTAGGAGTTGTTTTTGGAGAGAGGAAGGGAGGAGGAGGTGGGGAAGGGCTGGTGGTTAATGAGGGAGGGGAAAAGGAAATTTCCAAAATCTGAAAATAGTTTTAGATTTTTGTTTGGAGGGATTTGAGGTCATGTAATTTGAATTTCAAACAAGAGGAAAGAAATGAAGATAGTCCTTAATGAGAGGTTTGATTGAGGTCTTTAGAGGGAGGGGATTTAATGTGGAGAGAGAAAGGGGGGAGCACAAGGAGGGTCCGGCGGCATGCTTGGAGGGAGAGGGGTTTAGGAAGGAGATTTAATGCTAGCCTTAACAAGAATATCCCATTGGGAATAATTGTTAAATCCCATCCAATTTGAAATCTGATTGGACTTGACTTAAGTAACATTCATAAAATAGATTTTCTATTTTATGAAATATTTCAAATTCAAAAATTGATTAGAATTTATAATCAAAGCTTTCCAAAGAGGATGGGCAAGGAAAGGAAAATAATGATGGAAGGTTTAAATTTTGGAGGCAAGGGAAGGGGAAAGGGGGCGGCGGCTAGGGTTAGGGTTAGGGTTAGGTTGGGTTTGGAGGTGGGAGAGGGTGGCCGATTGGGTTGTAGTGGAGGTGGGGTTTGGCCGGGAGAGGAGGCGGGGTTAGGTCAGGAGAGGAGGTGGGGTTATGGGTGGCCGGTAGCTAGGAGAGGGGAAGGGAGAGAGGAAGGGTAGCGACGACGACGATCATGAACCCGGACACTTCCTGTGGTTGGTGGGTATTGTGATGCCCTCACCTAGGGACTTCAATCTCTCCAAGAACTCACGCTCTCTCCAAATACATGGATGCAGAAAATTTCATAATAATCATTCATTAGCCTCCAAGAAGGAGGTGGCCTCTAAATAGTCTCATTACAATGAAAGAAAATAAAAGAACAACTAGCCCGTATATCATAATGACCTTAGCGGGTTAATGTGACAAAACTACTATTGAGCTGGGGATCAATGAACAATTTACCAATAATTATTGCCATCAAATTAAGCTGATCTTTGAGTGGGTTGTGAGGAGAATAGAAATCAGAAACAAAAGAGAAACTTCAAAATTTTATATTATTATTATTATTTTTATTTTACACTATGTTATATGCATCTATACTGTATAGTTATGTTCCAAAATTGTAATGGCCATGCGCTATTGCATGGAATAGTAGTTTACACGACTACTAAGAACATTGAAAAACATAAGTTCATAAATCAGAAAACATAACCCAGAAAAATATCCTGGAAAACATAAGAATGGTAAAATATATTAAATATAACACTTTTAATGATATTACTCCATCTTGAAGAAAATGAAAGTGCTATCATACAATGATGCTGTAAAAGGAAGCAAGAAGCAAGTCAAGAAAAATAAAACAAAGAAAATACAAACTTACATCGTTTCTGTCAAACACCATTCTTCTTGAAAAGAATCTTTAATATGTCACCTTCTTAAATGTACTTTATGAGTCTCCAAGAATTTCCATGAAGGTATCATCAAATCTGACCATTGAAATCCAAACTTCAGCAATCCTTTAAGCCATCTGATTCTGCATGCAACATCCTCTAGATTCATGACAGATGACTCTAATGTACTGGAGCTCCTTGCCAACATCAGGTACTTCAGTGCAGCAACATCTGCATCATCCTTAGTAACCAAAGTGTATCGACCTTCTCTTGTGGTTGCTGCCTTAGATGCACCTAATTCATTTTTTTCATTATCATTGTAACTGTTATCATTATCATCAAAATTGGATGGCTCAGTAACCCTATCAGCGGCTACTTCATTCGCATCATTTTCAATGTCTGCAGTATCAAGGTAGATTTTTTGTGCATCTGCATTATTGAAATGAAAAGAGTTACTAAAGAGGACTAGGCAGATCAAACAATATTTCTTAACATCCAGATTCATGGTAGAATATGGTTTGTTAAGAAAGCAAGCATATGGAGAGCAAAAAAACCAGCTGATGCAATGGTGTTTCCATTTCAAATGATCCACCACCTTTAACAATCTCAAGGGTCTGTTTCTCCATTCTTTCTTTGTCTACACAAGTGAAGAAAGAAAAGCCCATATCAATTCATGAAAACTTCAATGCAATGAATAATGCCTACAACATCGTATCGGCCAACTTCCTTCAAAGGTAAGCTGGACAAAGATCATACCTGACACTACAGTTGAAGACCGTGTTGAATAAATTATGAAGAAACTCAGACCAAAACCAGTGACTTAATTTCACATTGAGCAACCGAGAGCAAAATTTAAGAGAACTTAAATAGAAATGAAAATTCTGAATAACATTCAAGGATACCAAAATGACCATATCTATCATTACATGGTATTCAACATTATCATTGTTTTAAGTCAAACACGTCACTCTAAGTCAGTGGATCAGGACGAATGTGACATCTATAAGTAGAAATAAATATTGTACTAGCGTGGTTGGAGCAAGAGGTAAGGACCTCACCAGGTTGGAAACTCTGATAGAGGCTTTCATCACTCAAATCAGTAATTTTGCAAGCAAAGACTTATGATAAATGTTTATGCAGAGAGTAATCTTTATGAATACTAAAGATTTCGTAAAAATAAAATAATAATTGTTTATAAACTAATGAATGAATAAAGGGAAGCTAAAGCGCAGTCAAAGGATAACTAAAGCGTAGCCAAAAGAGCAGCTAAAGGGCAGCTAAAGTACAACTATATCATCAAAGCATATGCTGTTAGGACTAAAACTGATGACTATAAGGAAAGTGAGATAAGTTATATATAGATGACGGATAACATAAATAAAGGCGAAAGATCTGACGAGGTAAGCTTACACTCTCAATTCTAAAAGTTGGGAAAATTAGACTCAACCCTGAATGAGAGAACAACTTCCATTCTAAAAGTTGGGAAGCTGAACCCAACCTTAAATTGAAACGCTGAAAATGTTCAAAAGCTTATAACCATCATATGACTTGTTTAAAAGTTTTGAACAGTTTTGACAAGATGAATAATACGGTTAGGCACTTCTTATACACAATATGACATTTCAATGTGTATTTTAGTTACATTAGTATTGTTAAGCATTTCTTAATTATTAATAATGTTATTACTAATTTTTATACATTGATTGTATATTTTATTGAGCTTAGCTCATCAACAGTGGTTGTACTGCATGTAAGAGAAAGGAGCAGGGAAATAAGCGGGAGGGAGGTGACCGTTCTTTTTGGTGTAAATATGTTTTGGTGTACAAAGAGATCTTATAGGACATCTGAATGATAACTATATAGGCTTTTGGGTATGTAAGTAAATTTTAAAAGTTTTAGTAGAGCTTTCTATTTACTTCAATTATATTTGATGTTCATTAAGGGACATTATATACTTCCCATTATTAATTATGAAATTTAATAGATTGGCAAGTTAGGAGAGTCTAAATAGATTTTTTTTTTACTCATTCTATTATGAAAATAGTGGCTCGGAATGGGTGACAGTAAGAAAGAACCGGTTTAGATTTTTCTTTTTTGTTATACTCCAGATAATATTTAAGGATGAAAAAAATAATAAAAGATTATTTTATTTCTCATAAATATTATGCGTCATAAAAAATAAAAGAGAAATTACAATTAAGCCCCCGAAAAAAAAGATGAGGTAGGTGATTGGCGAACCTATGACGATTGCATGTAAAGGGGAAGTGACTAAAGAGACTAAAGCTAGGGCGTAACCAATCACAAATTTAAGTAATTAAACTAGCTATTCAAGTACACACCTATTGGACATGCATGTTAGACCATTTTTTCTTAATTTCTTAAATAAACACAGGGATGACATATCTGATATGTGTAACCACATCATGCCTTGAATGTGTCAGACACTTCACATTGTTAAGTATAGGTGCATCGATGAATTTATACATATGTTGGACTAAGAATTCCATTGAACTTGGATTTATTTTTTACTTAAATCAAGCTTGAATTGAAGTTAAATAAAAATTGGATTCAACCAGCCAACAACCAAGCTAAGCTCTCAAACCAAGGTTGGATTTACTAGCAATCAAATTATTGATAACCCTACACACTAATTATAAAACATGGAGCTTAACCCTCAAATAAAAACTAAAAATAAGACCTCATAGCCAAAGCTTTCTAAATGTTATCATGTAATGCTTAGTAAAAAACATATGTATTGGTATTCAAAATAGAATCATGCAATCAAAATAAGGACATCAATGGAAAAACAATAAAAAACAACAAACAAGATTAAATATAACTATTCAACACAATGAGCACATGTACCCCACATAGAAATATCATTTCCACTTCGATGAAATTTCATTTCAATAACCACACCTAAAAGTAGTAAAATCTTTTATGATAGTTGAGATACCTATTTCATGCATCCAAGCCAAATGAGCACAGTGCCAACCATTGCCAAGTTCCTAAGAAGAGTAAAGAAAAAAGTAGTAAATTACCAAAGAAAAACTGACATTACATTAGCAAGATGGGTAACCTTTACAGCGTTAATCAATATAAAGACATAAGAAGTGGTTAGAACAAATTTAGGAGAAATTTATAAGGAGGTACTAAATGTGAAGTTTTCCTACCTTCAAGCCTTTAATAATTCAAATCCACTAACAGGAGCCAGAACAAATTATTAAGGGTAAAATAAAAACTAGAGTTTCAAATAAGTCTATAAACAAGACATAGGATAGTTACTTAAAGGAATTGCAAGTATTTTTACAGAAATATACGAACTTTCTAAATTCCATCTATTAGTAACCTAAAGGTTGACTAGTGGTGAAGTTTGAGTATTTCTACCCTTGAGGTCCAACTTAATTAATTTGAGTTAATGACATTAAAGTGTGATATCAACAACAACAACAACAACATCAAGCCTTTATCCCATTGCGTGGGGTAGGCAACATGAATCCTTTTTCTCCATTATGTCCTACTAGAAGTCAAATTCTCGTTTAAATCTAATAAAGAAAGATCATTTCTAATATTTTCTAACCAAGTCTTTTTAGGTCTGTCTCTAGTCAAATCTAATACTTCTATTTTCCTAACCGGTCATCGGAAGACCGCAGTTTTATGTGACCAAACCATCTAAGGCGACTCTCTCTAATCTTATCTTCTACTAGAGCTACTCCAACCTTTTCACGTATATGCTCATTTTGTATCCTATCTCTAAGGGTAAAGCCAATCATCCACCTGAGCATCCTCATCTTTGCCACACTTAACTTAATATTATGCTTCTCTTTTAATGGCCAACATTCGACACCATAAAGCATTGAGGCCTCACCACCATTTTATAGAATTTTTCCTTAAGTTTGAGGGGGTTTATCGCACAACAAGCCCGATGCATTCCTCCAGTTCAACCATCTAACTTGAATTCTGCTGATAATATCCCATCTATTTCACCATCACTCTGAAAAATAGATCAAATATATCTAAAATGTGTACTCTTATTAATGACTTGATCGCCCAAAGTCACAATCCCCTTACTAGGTCTATTACTACTAAAATTATACTCCATATATTCAATTTTAGATCTACTCAAGCGAAAACCTTTAGACTCTAAGGTTGACCTTTATAATTCAAGTTTACCTTCAACTCTCTCTAGTCTTATTGACAATAAGAATATCATCAGCAAAAAGCATACACCAAGGTACATCCTCTTGCAAAGGTCTAGTGAGAACATCCATGACTAAAGCAAAAAGATATGGGCTTAAGGCTGATCCTTTATGTAACCCAACCGAAATAGGGAAATACTTGGTCAAACCGCCTTGTGTTCAAACACAAGTAATAGCTAATGCATACATATCTTTAATTATTAGAATATAAATGGTATTAACTCCTTTCTTTTCAAGAACTCTCCATAGCACTTCTCTTGGAAATTTATCATATTCTTTTTCTAAATCAATAAATATCATATGTAGATCCTCTTTATTTTCTCTATATTTCTCCATCAAACCTCTTAATAAATGTATGGCTTCCATAGTCGACCTACCCGGCATGTAACCAAATTGATTTTGAGAAACATTAGTATCGCGCCACAACCTATGCTCCATACCTCGCTCCCATAGTTTTAAAGTATGACACATTAACTTAATTCCTTTATAATTCGCACAATCTTGTGCATCGCCTTTATTATTAAAAATAAGAATTAACACACTTATTATCCACTCATCTGACATCTTTTTAGTCTTCAAAACAGTATTAAAAAGTTTAGTAAGCCAAAAAATTCCTTCATCTCCTAAACAATTCCACACCTCTATTGGAATATCATTAGATCCAACAGCTTTTCCACCCTTCATTTTCTTTAAAGCTTATCTAACTTCGGTTTTACTAATACGCCGATAAAAACAACAATCTTTATTTTCATTCAGGGTGCTAAGATCACTACAGTCAATCGTATTTTCATATTCTTCATTAAATAAAATTAACAAAATAACTCATCCACCTTTGTTGAATATCATCTTCTAAGAAAAGTAATTTTTGATCTTCATCCTTAAAACACTTCACTTGAACGTGATATCACCGGCCATTACAAAATTTTAGAACTATATCCATGATCAAACACCAACCATTAAAAGCTCAGATTTTGGATAGACAAATTAGCTCTTTCATATCAAAAGAAGATTTTAGTCTAAATTTGTTAGTTGAAACAATGTTATCAAAAACTAAAGGTGCTCAATTCAAATTAACTTTACGAGCCATCAAATCTAATCACCAATGGCATTTTTAACAAGGGCATAACTAATAAATAAAACTCCAATAGAAAGTATGGAGAGAGATTAGTGTATATAGTCTTACCTTTACACAGTCAAGAGAATGCTTATATGAACCAATTCTAGGACTTTCATACTAAAACCAAACAAACTAAGCATTGCTCTATGCCCACCCTCTAAATTTCTCATGGTACAACAACAATAATAACATCAACATCAAGCCTTTATCCCATTACATTGAGTTGGCTACATGAATCTTTTTTCTCCAATATCTTATTAAAAGTCAAATTCAATTCCCCATAGTACTTGAATGAAAAAAATAAAAATAAAAATAAAATACCATCGAATACATCCATTAAAGTGAAGTTTCTAATAGACAATAGTACGTTACTTACTCTTGTTAATATCGAATCAATAAAGTATTTTATATTTTTATATGATTGAAAATTGTGTGAAGTGACCTAGTGAAACTAAATGTATACAAATAAAAAATCATGTGCGCATGCACTCTGATACAACAACAACAACAACAACAACAACAACAAGCCTTTATCCCACTACGTGGGGTCGGCTACATGATCTTTTTTCTCCATTGTGTCCTATTAAAAGTCAAATTCTCGTTTAAATCTAATAAAGAAAGGTCATTCCTAATATTTTCTAACCAAGTCTTTTTAGGTCTACCCCTACCTTTCTTAACAAAAGTCAAATCTAATACCTCTACTGCGCATGCACTCTGATAAAAATGGAAATTCCGATAAAAGCAAAAAAAAAAAAAACCAACAAACACTCTTCCTAAGGGAAAATTCAGCTTAAATGGTGGCACCAAAAAGCACGCATTATATATAAAAAGCATGTTAACCAAAAAAATGAAAAATATTGCGTGTTTTAATAAATATGTTGGTGCCAACAATATAAAAAAATTGAAATCATAGTGCCACCATTGACTATTCAAAGCATTATCCTCTATATGTGAGGGTAGATTTTACTGATCCATAACCTAATAATTATCCAAGTTCTAATTCTCTACATCCAAGAGTAAAGCCGACAAGGTTCATTTATTAATAACTGTTTGAATGATGAAATAATAAAATAACAACCATAAAATTTGCTAAACTAGTTGTTAATGTAATCGCATAAGGCCTTTAAGGCCTTTATGCTCAAATTTCATTCAAAATAATAAATCTCTCAAGGCAATCCTACATATAGGGTAGGGTCATTAGTCCCAACTTTTGAGCTTTCATCAAAACTTCGAGATATAAAACATTAAAACCAAACCCCAAACCAAAGGCAACTATAATTTAACATTAGAGTTAATTAAATTCAAATGTCATATATCCATAAATTTGCATGGGCATGATGATTAGCAACTAAGTAGGCAAATTTAATAGGAAAATAACTAAATGACTTCCAAAAGCCTAATCCTCTATGGGTCAACGAGTTGACATGATGATTTTGCCCCAATGACAGCATAATCATTGCAAATCATAACCAGAGGAATTGCTAACAAATCTATGCTTCCCATAATAAATCAAGCAAAATACCTCAAGTTTTTTTCTATGATGAGCATAATTATTAAGAAACATAACCGAGTGAAATTTCATCATAAAAAGACCTAAAATAACAAATCATCCAACATTGGAATAATTAATTTATTATGACAACAAATTCTGAGAACAAAATTCTAATAATGAAGATAATATTGTAATATCCAAAAATATTCAAAGGTAAAATAAAAAAGACATAAAATTTTCATCTCGCTAATTTGGAATTTGATGAAATTAATGAAAGTGTTTTTTTTATAATTTTCTATAATTTATTATGATCATCTTACTATATATAGATAAATATAAGAAAATTGGTATATATATATAAAATTGCTATTAAATTGGTATCATCCCATACATTATTTAATTATATGGTTCACAAGATGAATATCATTGTTAATATAACAATTCTATATAGCTTTTCATTGAATTTCCATTCAAGGCAGCATGGAAAAGTGGACATAGAAATGGATAGTATTAAATAATTATATTTATAAAATTTACTATTTCTTTTTGTTTGTGTTTCTACATATATACATTTGCATGTAAATTTTATAAGCAATGTAGAATCTTATATAAGTAATGTATTAAAAAGTTCTTCACATTTTAAAATATAGATTTGTGTCTTGCCATTTATAATTAAATAACCATGAATCAATTATAAATTATGTAAATTATAAGCTTGAAGTATTATGAGCATGCTACATTTTATTAAAATAAGGACGTCTTGTGCGTATGAGTTATATATTAATGCATTTTGTCAATTAGCATATTCATGATGGCTAATATATATATATATTTAAATGTTTTATGAGATGAGCTTAAAAAGGTCAAGTGATAGGGGACTGGTTGCCAATGTTATATTATGATTTGTACAGGTGAGGCAACAAATACACAAGGTGAGCCTTACAAAGAGAAAAAAGATCATCAACTCCCTTGGAATTAATTTGAGGCACAATATGAGGTGTGGGTCTGATATATATAATTTTCTCATCTAGTTGAAGTTTCATAGCTCACCATATTATTTTTTTAGATGTTTCTATAAATAGAAGCAAGATAAAGTTGAGCCTAAATGAGGACCCGGTTTTGAATTTACAACTCTATGATTTGATGTTTAGCTCTAGTGTAAGATATATATCATACTAAGGAAATGTATATAATGGAGGTTTGATATTATGTATGTGAACCTGAATACTTAATATAAATTCTGTAGTAAATGTTTTGGGATGCATTCGTGCATAAGAATTGTGTTATTTCATTAGATCTTCGTTTTCCAGAATGTTTAAATAAGAAAATAAATTCAACATAGCGGGGAGAGGATTTTCGTTGTCTAAAATGTTAAAAAAAAAATTCAGAATATGACATAACCAGAAGAAGATTTAGGCCCAAGTTTGCCATGTCCAATAAAATAAAGGATTGAAGATATCCAAAATTAGACTGAACACTTGACATTGCAAAGTATCAGCTGCAATCATCAATGGTACTGAAATCGTACAAACTAGAACAGAATCTACTAAGACAAGGAGTTTCGTAACATGTAGTGAAAATTTTCAAAGCAATAATCAAGTTGTAATCAACATCAAATTAAGCAGCTAAAAATTTTCTGTTTTAACAAAAACAACATATAAGTTGATAAATGGATAATTTAAAAGATTAATAAAAACAGTTGTAATGGCAAGTTATGGTAGGCAGGGCAATCACGATAACTAAAAAACAGAAAAGAAAAAAGGAATATCAGTACCCCTGACAATGGCACCATCCAACCATTTTCTTGCGACCAATCAAGAGACGGGCGCAAATCTTTACATAGGGCTTCATAAGAACATCCTTCACCAACAGGAGGATCCGGTAATTTGATCTACACAAAGAAAGCAAAGAATTATTTCTTTTAAAATCATGAGCACAGAAAGCTAAGGCTTAATAAAGGAAAGTTCATTATGTTCAAAAAAAAAACACCTGGATCAAAAAAAAAAAAAAAAAAGCACCTGGATCTTTCAACTCACCTAACTCTTTCACATGTAGCACCGAAACTTAATATCATCATATTATAAAACAAAACTTAAGAATTTTAAATTATCTGCATGCAAATTATTAAGCCAATATAAGATACAAATTTTCCTCCATAAATCCAAAACAATAAAAGAGCCAAAGGGCTTCTCTTAAATTTTATTATGTTTTTATTCTTTTAGTATAGAAAAATATTTCATTGTTTAAAATCCAACTCATAAAAGAAATCCAAGTCACTATTAATTTAATATCTAATATAAATTTTTTATCATGTACTTGGTAATTATTTGATTATAATATTAATTAATACTGAAAGTGAACTTAAAAGAAACTTGCTTTTTCTGATTATTATCAGATTTTAATAAACAAAAAATTTAACTATAAATATTTAAGGAGCATAGGAAGAGAATAACCATCATCTTTAAAGGTTCACATACGATGAGAACTCAATTTCAAAATGAGATTCTCTTGATTCTAATATAGGGGTGTAAATGAGTCGAGCTAGCACAAACTCGACCTGACAAGCTCACAAGTCGAGATTATTGAGTCATGAGCTCGAGCTCGAGCATAAAGTTGAGCTCAAACATTAAACGAGCTCGAGGTCGAGTTTAAAATAACTCAGCTCTTTGGCTTGCGAGTTGGCTCATATTTAAAAAAAAAAACAACTTAAAATATTATTTTTGGTAATTCAAAAAAAAAAAAAAAATGCTAATGCCTTTTCATACATTAAATTCATCTGATTAGTTTAAAAAAAATTCAAAACCTGTTTGCTGTTTTTTTGGGGAAATAAAGTTGCCTGTTGTCATTTCCTTTATTAAAAGAAGTAAGAGATTAATTTTTATTGCAATAAATGAGCTGCACACTATTACAACTTTTCCAGTAGTATCTTTTTCCTTTCGTGTGAAGTTGTGCATTCATCTCTCCATCTGCAATGTCTGCCTCGAGGCCTTCAATGTCTTTCGTGTGAACTACCACTACCTCGCCTTCTCCTACGGGCTTCTCAAACGTCAACGAGTGTCTACCTCCAGTGAACTTCAGTTGATGAGTCGACCTCGAGCTTACATTTATTTTATTGAGTCAAGCTCAAACTCAATACAAAAGCTCGACTCAAGTTCGTGCTCGAGCCCATTGTTCATATGTTCCTCATTCAAAAGAAAAAATGATGCTAGCGACACAAATGAATCCCGCTTTGTAGTCAGAGGATTCCATTCTCCTTGAGGCAAATCGTAATTAACCAGATTTTTCCTGAGAGTGGTATCAGGATTTATTTAGATCCGGGTCCTTACTTCCTATGAGGGCAAGCCCTCATAATTAATTATCCATCACAACACATAGAAGAGAACTCTCGATTAAGGATGAATTAATGTTTTAGATGTGCGATAGTTTTATTTTTGGTTGTGGGGTATGGATGTAGACTCGATCAATATCCTATGGCCCCGTCATCTCGGAAATATCATAGATTTAAGTCTATCAACACTATTAATCATTGATTGTAGTGTCTAATAAATCTGATTAGCTGACATGGGTTGCCTCCTATCAGGCTAGAGTAAACTGAAGTGAATAAATATTATGATGATTTGGTTTAGGTTGGGACTTGCGATTTCACTTGGGAGTTGCCCGTAGTTTAGATTTAGATTAGGTCTTACGGCCCCGTTTAGGAGTTGCATGTAGTTTAGATTTAGGTTAAGTCTTACACCCCCGTTTAGTAGTTGCCTATAGTTTAGATTTAGATTAGGCCTTATGATGAGAACATCGGTCCGAGATTTCGACATGTGTACCACCGTCGGAGTCGTAGATCGACGGTTACGATCCTGAGTATGTACTTTTGATATATTTTGTATTTTATGTATTTTCTTTTTCTATTATTCCTATTTCACCCCTGTGGGTAGTGAGTCACTATTGTAGCCCCGTGGGCATTTGTGTCTTTCTGGTTTTCTTTCATTTGGGCCCATTTATAGGAGGCCTCTTGCATTGTAATGGTTAATGATGATTTTGATGAATAAAATTTGTTTTGTTTCTTAGTGATCTCTTTGTGAGTTCATGAGAGCCGAGAAGCCTATGAGTGGCCAAGGAAATACCCAACAGTTCATCTACAAGTGAGCTCTTGGTTTCTTTACTTTTTGTTTTCATCTTGAATCCTCCTCCACCCACCTTTCCTCTCCATACCGCTGACAACCCTTAACCCCTCTCCTCCACCTGACGGCTTCCCCTTCCCCTTGAACCCCTACTAGACGCCTCCCCATCACCCCACCACCGAGAGAAGAGAGTGAGAGCGAGAGAAATGTCGGGGGAGAGAGGGAACCAGCAGAGGCCGAAGGCCTCGTCCATTCGCTCTTTTTAACGACGCCAGCGCGCTCTGTGAGCGACGTGGGGGAGAAGATCGTGCACGAAGTGACTCGGGCATGGCTTCGACGTGCACACGACGTGGGAGCGGCAGAGAGAAGGTGAGATTTGATGATTTTTTTTTCTCTTTTTTTGTTACAGCGTACGGGTCAACACTCTCCAATTTCATTAATAGCTCCCAATTAATACTCCCTAATCTCCTCCTCATACCCCCCCTCTCCCTCAATTCCTCTCTTCCACTTTAATTCTCACAATTATAATTTGAATTCAAATTCAAATTCCTTACGCAAATTTTACTTAATATGAAATTAATTTTAGATTTCTAATAATTCTCTCTAATCCAACCTAGATCCAGCCGCCCCCTTTCCCCTCTTCCCCTCTCACCCCTCCTACCCGAGTTCACCCGCCACTCTCCTCTTCCCTTGGCCACCCCTCCCAAGTGACGGCTCCTCCACCATAACACCACCACAACGCCAAAACCCTTCCATGATCATGTATGGCTGATCCAGAGCTTGATCACGGATTTGTGTTCAACTCTCAAGGGGAGATCGATGTCATCCAATCACCGTTCTTTGATGTTGGATTGGGATTTGACCACACCGTTGAGGAATACCTCGATCGTATTCTTTTCCATCTAGCAGACGTCATCGACGAGCAACGACCTACGGGAGAGTGGAAGATCACCGGACGCCCACCCGCTCCTCCAACTCCGGCTCCTCCGGCAACTAGCCCCCTTGGCATCACATGTCTACTAGTGGCATCCCTAAGCTTGTTTGCAATCTTCTTCCGCTAAGCCAAGCCATATCAAGAGTGTAAGTGAGGGATCCCAAGGTGAATGATCTAAATTTTAAACTATGGATTTTGTTATGTGCCATTCGCTCTACTCATTTATTGATGATGTAATTTTCCGAGTTTCCTATTAATCTCTATTGTAATAACATGACATTACTTAGCCTTTCCATGAATTTTTCTGAAGATCTAACTTGAATACGCATCCATTTATGCTTAGCCGATCAAAATTCACAATTTCTTAATTTCGTATACGCAATTCTTGTTTCATCTTCCTTGTATTACATCATATTTGGTATCAGAGCATGGCTAGCATATGCTATGAATGCTAGAAGTCATCCTAGGGAACTTTATCATCAATGTTAAGTGTCATTGCATGCTCATCACCACTTAGAAAAATTTAAACCCTTGTTAGTCTTGCTGTCCAGAAAATTCCTGCACAATTTAGTGGCCTTTAGGTGACTCCAAGCTAGTGTGTAGGTGCTGTCCACGCTCTAGAAACCTTCCAAAACACTTAGACAACTTAGGTCTTTGCTGTAATTTGCTGTACTGATCATTCCTGCATCATTTAGAGGCATTAGGACCATAATATCTTAGTGTCTAGGTGCTTTCCCTTACCCAATTACCTCCCCTAGTGTCCCCTAACACCTACCCATGGATCCGGAACATAATCAGGCGACTCTGGACCTCATCGTGGGTCAACTTGGGACAGTTACTCAGCAAATTAGGAACACCCAGACTGACTTAGCCAACTTTAGCCGCCAAACGGGTGAACGACTTGATAACATCGAGCGGCTAGGACACCCCGGAATTCACACCCCATCTAGACCGCATTCACCTTATGGTGATGAAACCCAGACTGATTATGGACCACCTTGGGATCACTATCATCATAACCTTAGACCCAATCAGGACCTCGTAGGACATGAACCCACTTGGAGAGACAACGACGCTCAGCTGCTAAAAAACATCCGAATAGACGCCCCTTCCTACGATGGCACCCTCGATCCTCAAGTCTTCTTAGATTGGCTCAAAGGGATGAATAGTTATTTCAAATGGTATAACATCTCGGAAGCTAGGAAAGTTAGGTTCGCCAAAATGAAACTTACAGGTCGAGCTAACCAATACTGGACAAACCTGGAAAACATGCGCGAAGCTCAAGGTGAGCACCCCATCACCGACTAGCGAGCTATGAAGCAAGAGCTCAAGAGAAAATATCTCCCTCCCTCATACTACCCCAAGCTCTTAGATAGATGGAATAGGGCTGACCCAAGGGAGTAGACCTGTAAAAGAGTATATCTTCGCTTTTGATGACTACATGATCCATTGCAGCGGAGAAGAGACCACTACCCCAGCCCAAATCCTTTCTATGTTTAGAGCTAGCCTTCGGGAAGATCTCTGAAATGAGCTTTTTGCTAGAGGAGTTGACACTTTAGAAGCAGCCCGCAGTTTAGTGCTGGACCTCGAAGAATCTAGGACCCATTCCCACTCTAAACATCTAGATTCCCGCCCAACTCCATATAGAGCTTCCCCCAGTCAACCCCAAAACCGACCCGCTGGCCCTATGATTAACCGATCGACTGCTAGCAAAACCCAACCTCGTCCTGACTCTAAAGGTAAAACCCCTGAACGTGACACTCCCAAAGCCACCTCTGGAACCAAGATCTATAGGTGCCACGGTTATGGGCACATTGCCTCGCAGTGTTCTAGTCCATATAA